TTAAAATTATGTCAAGACATAATAAAAATTCGGAATTATTTTTATGTTCCGACATAATTTTAATTTCACGAATTATTTCGATTTACGAATAATTTTAATTTCACGAATTAAAATTATGTCGGGACATAAAAATAATTCCGAATTTTTATTATGTCTTGACATAATTTTAATTCACTCAATTTTTATTATGTTCGACAATTATTATTACGTCTTGACATAATTTTCATTCATCAAATTAAAATTATGTCAAGACATAATAATAATTGGATGAATTAAAATTATGTCTTGGAATTAAAATTATGTAATTGGATGAATTAAAATTATGTCTTGACATAAAAAAATTTCGAATTTTTATTATGTCTAGACATAATAAATAAATTATGTCTAGACATAATAAAAATTCGAAATTTTTTTATGTCAAGACATAATTTTAATTCATCCAATTATTATTATGTCTTGACATAATTTTAATTTGATGAATGAAAATTATGTCAAGACGTAATAATAATTGTCGAACATAATAAAAATTGAGTGAATTAAAATTATGTCAAGACATAATAAAAATTCGGAATTCTTTAGACGGAAAGTTGTAGATTAGACGTTTTATAAATGCAATGTAATACAAATTGATATTTTTTTAAAGGAAAATTAAAGATAGGCGAATCATACAATGTTGTGATAAAAATTACAAAGAGCTCGGCCAAGTCCAGTATTTCTGGAAAAGAGTTGGATTCGTTTTGGATTTAAAGCCAACGGCACACAGCTTATCTATCACATGGAATTCTGATTGGCTCTCACTAGCCAGCAAAGGTGCACGCAAGTAAACCAGCAAGCGAAAAAGCATCGTGTGCCGCTGGCTTAAATTAAAGTTTGATACGTAGATTACGAATATGCAAGTGTTGCAACAAAGCTACCAATTGTGACTACTTGCCACCGCAGATACTATTTAGGCTCGGTTTCACCAACGTCGCTTAACTTTACGCTTAGCTTAATTCGTTCTTTGTCTCTTTCCAACTGTTACTTTAGATAGACATGAATTAAACTAAGATTAAAGTTAAACGACGTTTGGTGAAACCGGGCCTTATTTTCCTCTTTAGATTAAATATCAAGTCCAATTAAGCTTGATATCAGAGAATGAAAAAATCAAGTCTGAATAAAAATAAAAAATATAGATGATTAATGACCAAATTAACTTCAACACTGCTGAAAACTGAAGCAGTTTAACTGACCGTCTGGTGGAAGTGGCGTTTTAAGTAGGCCGTTTCTCTGGAACGGTAGCTGTGTTCAATTTGCCTAACTCCAGGCTAAATCCAGACCGAATTTTAACTCTTTTTTTTTCCAAAAATAGCTTGTCCAACTGTGCATCTGGAAGTAAAAATATAGAAAAAAAGATATGATGGGGTAATATTTTTCGCAATAAGAATTTTAATTCAATAGGGGAGAGGGTAAATTTATAATGCTAAGTATAGCATTAAAATTAAATTAAAATAATTTATAAAAATCGCTCTGCGATTTTTAGAACATGTAAATTCACGAGAATGATCTTACCGAGGGGAAAATCTGTGTTATATGTCCGATAGTAACGGCGCACAGTACAGAGTAGGAAAAATACGGTATATGGATTCACTAAGCTATTTAATGGCCACCATCTTGCCTAGGTCCTAATTCAATGGGCGTTTAAATTTCAATTTGATTTATATCTAAATAGGACCGAGAAATATTCATCATTAGAAAAGAAGAGTTGCAGTAAGGCAACATACTTAATAAAGCAAACAGTATCAGCGGCGGAGCAAGTGTTAAGGTTTGCTAAAGACCTGGAGAGACTATATATCAACGAGGAAAAAGACATCCCGAAGAGGACAAGTAACGTCAGTATTACAGAAGGTAAATTATCAATGAAGTACCTTAAATATACACATAATATTAATCTTTATCGTCAATTTTAAACAGTATCCTGTGATATTAAAGTTACATTCTTTTATATATTACATTATCATGTTATTTAAAAAATTAAATTTATTAATGTGATCGTTTAATCAACAGAGATTGAAAAAGAACATTCATCTCGTGAAACACAAGTCGAAATACCTACGAAGAGAAGAGTACCAGTTCCAGCTCTAGATAACACTGGGTAATAGTCTACTTTGACATAAATACAAAATTTTTACTCAAGAGCTTATTGAACTAGACAGTTAATTATTAAGAATTATTCAATTTTACTTGTTTTACTTGTCACTTTTTCAATATTTCCTCAATTGCTCAATCTTTCTTCTGTGTTTTGCTATTTTATGCTCCATTAACACTTTAATTTCTCATTTCAGTATCTGGTTATTAAATGATATTATTTCATATAAATTTCTTCATTTCATCATTTTCACTCATTTTTTCACTCATTTCACATCATTCATCACATCAAATATTTCATAACATAACAATATTCTAAGTGTATACTCGACTTTCGTAACAACTTTCGTAAATGGATATTGACAAAATATGAAATTCATTAATTGACAGTTTGAGAAAAGAATAAAACTTTTATCGCTTTGTCGTAATCTAAGAACCGTGCTTAGTTCTTTTCTACGAAACTTAGCATATTGTTATTACATATATATCTACCGTTTAAAGAATTATTTGGCATATAATAAAAATATCGTTTTTACTGTTAGCGGTTCCTCGCAGCCTGATCTGACGAGTCAAGGGTTGTATGCTCTATTACAAGTTTTATGGCGTGACAACGAGATGGTCAGATTCAGTGATCTTATTTCACCGGAGAGGTACACAAAAAGTGATGCTGCTACTGCTTTTGGGATGCTTCTTGGTAAGTGTTGTTACATTTGCAATGTTTTTCGTTGTTTCAAAAAGTAGTGGTCAATTTTACCTTTCTTTGTATTATTGTATCAATTTAGTGTTATGCTAATTCGTTTATCTGCACTATTTTTATTTATAGAGCTCGAGGCACAAAAAAAACTCGTTTTACATCAGGCGAGCTGTTTTCGCACTGTAAGGATTACGAAATACAATTATTCGGAATAACGGACATAACTGAGATACAAAAGTTACATTACAATGATTTTAATACATACATATGTATATCTATTACATACATATGTATGTATATCTATTTTCTTTATTTATCTATAAAGAACATCTTGTAGCTTATTAATCCACGCTCCTAGATGGCGCACCGCGCGCTTTAAGAATAATACCGACGAGTGTTCCGTCTAGATTGACGTGCGTCCCCCCCACCCCCTTCACACAGTCGTGGGCGAAGAACTGTCCGGTAATCGGAGCACTTCGCGGTGCTCGGAGCTCGCGGCGGTCAGTGAGCAAAATGGCGTCGTTGTGGACGGTGATGTCGTTCGCGTTCTCGTTGCTGCTAACACCTTTCCTCATGTTCCTCCTGGCGATCGTGTTCCTCGCGTCCATCGGCAAGTCCCTCGGCGTTCGTAGGCTGTACATTAAGCTGCTGCTGGCCCTCTTCGAGGTGAGTCCCGTCACTGCCATTTGTCGTGTGCCTCGATCAGATCAACCGGCCCCGCGCTCCTGGATCGGTCGATTCCCTGCGAGTCGCGTACCTCGCGACGTCGCGGCTTTACTTCGACCGGGCCCTCGCCTCTCGCCGGTGGGGACCGTTTCCTCCTCGCGTTCACGGGCTCCTTTTTTTTATGACACGTGTGCCGGAAAATGTGCTAATCGGACGCAACCTTACGCGCCGTTGCGTCTCGCGTTCGCGTATAATCGCAAGGTACGGCAGTCGCGAGACCTCGCGGTCGACGAGAGGGAGGAATCGGTCCACTCCTTGTTTCTTATTCGATGCTTCCGAAACTCCGGAAATTCCTCACCGGAGACGAACGGAACGACGTGACGGTCTGTCGCGCGCGACGGTCCAGCGGGACGGATGCGGCTAGTTAGGAGGGGGAGGGCGAGGGGGGGTTTTCTCTGTGGGTCGCAAGTTAATTAGCGCGCGAGCCGACCGTCCTCTCGCACTTTGTATACGCACCCGCTCCGCGTCTTACGCTCGCGGCGTCAAAGTTCCCGGCGAAACGGCGAGAGAGGCGTTTTTATTCGACGTTACGCAAGCTCGGTTTATTTTTAGCCGGGACAGATCGGGGAAAATGCGAGGGAAAAAATCTCGTACGATTAATCTCTCTGGCTTCTTTTTTTTTTGGTACGCGCGCATTAGGAGCAATAATGACTCGGCGTCGAGGCCGACGAGGCAATCCTGTTCAGAGGTGGACGCGTTTTGCGTATTGTTTTTGCAGAGAAAAGTCCGTTCTTCCACATATTTTTTCACAAATTAACAATGCATTTTTTACTAAACGACTACTGCTCCAAGGACAACGAATTCATGACGGAATCGACAAACGATGCCCGTTAATTTAGTCGAAACCCCCGCTATCTCGTATTAGGAGCCTGTCTCGTAATAGAAAACTTTCCTCTACGTATTATCGCGCGCAGTTTCTAAATGCAGCGAGCAAGCGTGTCGAACTGTTTCCATTAGGAACACCTTCGTGCAACACCTGCCGAGGGGAGTACCGTTTATTTAATTTCGATCGACGCGGTGTGACTGCGAAACGGGATTTCACGGATCCCCGGCGCGGTGTTAGATCGCGCGATGGCCAAGAGTTGTCCCTCCGATTTCTATTTTAAATTAATTTGCGCCGGAATGCGGTATACCGCATTAGGCACGCATCAGTTTCGCGACGAAAAGCGGCTGTTAACTGAGAAGATTAGAGATAAAGCACTTACCGTTTTTTTGCCGAGATAAGAGGATTATTAATTCTATTCCGAATGGCTAATTAATGGCCGGATGGTTCGTAAATGTCGCGCGTAAACATCGTAAAAACGTTCCGAAGTTATACGTGCAAATGTCAGCTTGGTCTCTTTTGTCAAGATTTACAATAATTCGGAGCCGGCAGATTTATTCCAAGCACAAACGATGCGTTCATTGAAGATGCAAAGCGCGCAATTCTTGAAGATTCTCCTTTTTATTTACCCGCCCCAGGTGTACGCAGTCCCTTACGTCCCTGAAACGATTAATTAATTAAGAATTTGGTGATTAAGAAATTTAAGAAATCACCGATCACCGGACACTTTCTCCCAAAAACCATACCAAACGCCTTGCTTGCTCCTAATTAGTCGGATAGGTGATGTCTCAATGAAAACTTCGTTTAGAACATGTATAATGTATGAGCTACAAACGCCTCAAAGTTTACAGATTACAAACTTCCAAAACGTCGGACTTTTCACTGCCCAGTCCATCGTTCAACTTATTTTATCTTATTATTTTCTTGCTGTTGATTGAAACAGCGTCATATTATCCGCGATGTATCTGGAACGGGCGTTTAGTTTATGTGTTCAACAGTTATGAATCGCAAGTATTGTTCAATTTCACAACATACATTTTTCTATTAGATTGAAAGCATATTGTTCTCTTCAAAAATTTCAGACTCCCTTTTTGTTAAAAATTTTCCAAGACTTAACAAGTGATCGTGACTTTGCCGCAACCTTCCGGCATTCGACACCAATCCTCATAAAACGTGCTTACCTCAAAATAGCTACCTAAAATCAGAAGTAAACTACTAAACGATTCTACTGAAATAACTAAAATCAGAAATAACTTGTTGACTTGTTGATTAAATAACTTTTGAATGTACTGCCAGGAGGACGTGAGAGGCTGGAAGGGTCCGCGCACTTCGGCGTTTGTATTTCGTAATTTGCAATTCAGGTGCTTGAATGCAAATTATTGTAGGCTTTTTAGGCAATTGTCTCGTGAAAATTGAGATATTGGTACAATTGTTCATTACGTGCGCGCTCTTCGTTCCTGATTCCTAAATATATTTTGCTAATATTTAAGATACATTATTAACACAAATGTATTTTTCTAATAATTAATAGCAGGGATATATAGAATTATATTAGAAAGATTTAAATATGTTAAATAAATCTTCTCAAATAATTTTTCAGTATTTTTAAATGGTGTGCCATTCTTCTACCTTCAATTTTTCTGATTTAGGTATTGATTTGTTGTTAACTGCTTTTATTTAGTTCTTTTAACTCGTTATATTATGTGCACGGCATAGACTATAAATAGTCTAATAAACACAAGTTTGAACTTGCAATTTCTAGTCTTATTCATCTTTTTCCGGCTTGTAAAAAGCTTATAATACAATCATACTTGCAAACACCAATATGGATGCAAAACGACTGACGCAAATCTCAAGTACCTGTGCAAGGAAAGAAAAAAAAAAGTACGATATTGCCGTGTCATACATTTGTATAAGATACATCTTAATTTCCAACTTCGAAAAAATTTCGAAATATTTAATGAGATATTTAATTTGAATAAACGTCGCATACATAAATAATTAACGTCAACGTCGTTGAAGTAATTAATACGCGCGATTAATTTGTGCAAAATTTCACAACTTCGAATACTGGATTTAATAACGCGATTTGTTTTTACTGAAAATTACGATTTTCTAAGTTATCCAGTTATTTGTTATATAATATAAAATTGTGCATAATTTTAATGAACATAAAAATAGACACACTTGCGATAAGCATAAAATGATTTATCGAGTCACCGACTATATTCCGCAAGGTCTAATGGAAGTGGTTTTGAAAGCTATAAGAAAACGCGACATATATCCCGCGAATGCAATGAATCGACTCCGGTTTACTGATTTAATAATACGATTGTCTTCTGCTGTTAAAGCCGAGCCCGAAAAAAGACGCTTACAGATTTGTGCGAAGCAAACGCACGATGTTCGGTAAAAGTGAAGGAAATGTATTTTGATAGAAGACCTGAGAATCTATCGTTACCTTGAACCTCGGATTGACTGCCTGCCGTGACGCCAGAGGCGAGGAAAGCGTAAAGTTACACATGTAAATACTTTATGTTCACGCAAATGACTTTTTGTCAATTGTGCTGCCCTGGTTCAATAATACCGGTTTGCGAACTACATGATAAACGTTATCAACATGATATCTCTCCTGGATACGTAACTGGCAGACATGTTGTCGTAATTATCAGCCAAAGAAACCTCAAATTGTAAGAATACATAATATGCAGAACTAGACAAATCAATCACGTATCTCTTCTACATCGTAAAATATATATTCCAGTATCCGTGAATACAGTATTATTAATATAAACGTGTTAAATTACTTCTATTATGCCAGACTGAGTGTATTTACAGATCTGAAAACTTTACGATGGAAAATGGTTTGCATAATTACATATGCAATATTTCATATGTACATTTATGTATTTCTTCAGTTCGAGATCTGTCCAAATATTCAAGAGAATATGCAACATTTCTTTCCTTAAAGAAGTCTTTAATATGCATACATACGTGTGCGATTAGGCTTACTTTATATGTAAACGTATAAATGAATTTTTATATGTTATCACTTTACTGAAACTTCTTTACATATTCACATGCATTTTGTGTATTGTCACGTTTAAATTTCCTTCTTAAACTAACGTGTATACAAGTTTTTAGGAAAAGAAAATGAGCAGAATATTTGCTATGCAAAATAATTCTTATAGACTCGGCGCTGGTTACATTTAACTAGAAAATAAAAAACCGTATTTCAATCTTTTTTAAGTATGCAAAACTACTTGAAATTTTGTCCTTAGAAATGTTATGAACGTGTTACGCAACTTTCGGTCTTGGAGTCTCTACGCAGTGACGAAATAAAGTGCCTTCGCAATTGCGTTCGCACTTTAAATTCACCGTTACATTAAAACCTTCCGTACGAGTCGTGAATCACAATATTTGTCCAATACGGCCGGTGCATGCAAAAATGTTGATAATGTTGCAACAGTTTTATCATCGATAAAAATAGTTTAATACCGAAGAAACGTTATGGACATTGAACATAAATTAACGTAAATAACGTCGAAAACGCAAAAAGGTCGTTAATAGCTATAATTTTATAAGAAAAAATGTTGCAAGTGATATTCTGCTGTTAACAGTATCATCTTAAAACCGGAGTAGACTTCGATAAAAAAAATCAAGGACAAAGATGAGGAGCGGTCCATGAGTCAGATCTACGTCATTTTACACGTGGATTGATATGCCGTTGCCTGTTTTGAGGAAAGAAAGAATGATTGCCAAGAGTTTAATCAACAATATCTGGAAAATCAATTTACGTATCTTTTCTGCATTGTAAAATATTCTTTATCTTCGTGTCGCGATAATCGGAGCAATGTCCGATTTTGCTCTGCAAGATCTTCGTTAATGCTACATTATCGTGGAAAACAATGTTACGCGTACTTAATTAACAGGAATATCATACGCTTCGTGGCCGCGTTGCGATTTGACTGCCATTATTACAATTCCGCACCGAATAAAGTAGCCTTGAAATTACATAACTGGGGAATACCAAGGACAAGGTAACTTGGAAATTGATTGTCATTCACGCTCTTGAAATTTATATCTGTGCGAAATTTTAGTACTGTCAAATCTTGTACGA